TTACGAGACTTAATCAACCCAACGATGAGACATAAATAAACCAACGATGAAACATTCGAATATTATACGAAATATTCGAATGTTTAAATAAAGATAAATAGAAACAGAAAAATAAAATCTGAAATTAAAAATAATTAAAACCTGTAAAAAAAAATATAATTAGGTGCTGAAAAGAAAAAAAAAATTATTAATACCTGAAAACAAAAAAAAAATTATTAAATGGTTTAAATGGGGTGGAGTGAGGGTGGAGTGGCTAACCCTAACCTCACTTCGGACTCCCACCCCTCGCGCACAACGAATATTTAGATATTATACTCGCGAGGTCGAACTGACAAATGAGTTTTACTGCATCGCGTCGCCCCTTATATAGCCGCCGGTCGGCCGAGCTCCCCACCCCAATCGGAAATTTTCGAACTTCGTCAATTTTATTAATTATTATTTTTCCGCTATTATAGCCAATAATTTATAAATTTTTTCGCTGATATTATAAATTTAGGTCGTAAACAATTTGTTATTAACAATATTAATTTGTTATTAATAATTAGTGTAATAATTTATAAACTTTTTGGAAATTGTAAGTACATTTTAGCGTAAATATTGATATCTTCAAATAATAGACAATAATTTATTAATTTTTTCACTTGTATTATAAATGTACGGTGTAAACAACTTGTTATTAACAATATTAAATTGTTATTAACTATTTTATACTAAAAAATCATTCGTACTTGTGTATCGAATATCGAGCCGTTTTCAAATGTCAAGTGATTCAGAGAAATTTCTTATAATTTTACTATTAGTTTAACATAGTAATTATGAACATTCTTATACTCTGGATACTCACACCTAACATTTAAGACAGTAATGAACCTCCTAACGTTCTTACTTTTTACATAATACGTCATTTTAGCCAAAAATCGTGCCTTTTTATCGAAACTCACATTTTTTGGAAATTGAGGGCGGTAGAACTCTACAAGAATCATCTAATGAATATTACACATCAGGGAAAAGATTAATATTTGTTGGACAATGTAATAATGATTTCCAGAAGTTGGGTAAATCAGACTTTGAATCAAACTTCATTTGGCCAAAGAGAACAAATTTAGTTCCAATTTCTAGCTAAACTGATGTTAAATTGCAAATATGATAAATTGAGAGAAGTCTTTTAGAAGGTTTAAAAGTTGGTTTTGACGGGTTCTGTGAGTCAGAACCAAAATTTACACACTTAAGCCAAGAAACAGTAAAATAGACTTGTTCGCTTTAGACATACACACTTATCATCATAACATTAAGTCATAATTTTCGTTTAGGATTTCTCAAATAAAAATTCCAATTGTATACAATTTCATATACAATACAATAACTAATTTATGTGCAGTCCAGGATGGTTTATGTCTATGATAATTTCCGTAATACCTATAGAACTATATTGTTTTTAGTAACTCCTGATAGCAGTCCTGGTTGCGAGCATCAATTTGGTCTCTACCCAATCAGTGATGCCTGCAGCACCTCTTATATCAGATGTGCTCATGGACATCCGGAAGAAGAACACTGCGACGCAGGTCTGGTTTACGACGAGAAGAGTCACAATTGCGTCTGGCCTGATCAACTGTTGCCCTACTGCAATCCGGAGGAAATAGTCGGCTTTAAGTGCCCTCACAAGGTGCCTTCCCACAGTGCGGCTGCCAAGTTCTGGCCCTACCCAAGGTAAGTGCACCTATGGAACCATTGTTTTTGAGAGTATTTCTAGTGATGTATTATTTATGAATGCTTCATAAATATATTCGATGGGCGGTCGATGAATACGAACAATGGATGAATTGAATGTACATACAATGTACATTCATGCAAGTCTGATTGTTGAAATTGAGATATAAAGAGATACCTTTTCTCGGATTCGATTGTCTTCTATTAATAGTAACGTTGGAGAAATTTGCTTCTTTGGAAAAGAAAAAAGCTGAAAATTAGATTTATATCGTTTAGTGTTTATTTTAAACTTAAACTTAAAGACTTAAAGTAGTATTTTCAGAAAATAATAAATAATTTTAGAATATACATTTTAAAGATTGAAAACAGATCATATAAATTTCGTTTTTCGAAATATTTTATAGTGATTCTATATTGATCTTTTATAGATTCTATAGTAGAAGAAATTTTATCCTCCCTAATAAAGTTCTTCAATTCTGGAGACTAATTTAATGAAATGAAATCGAAGTTTATTATATTATTTTATTTTTTAATATTTTAGATTATTACCATCATCATCTTTTTAATCGCAATAATCTACCACATTAAATTTTATAAAAATTTAATATAACACCAAATATTTTAAATGAAACTCATAAAACTCACTAACAAATTGATATTCACTTTATAAACAGTCTTAACAAATTTTCTTCCACAAGAGATAATCATACATACTCTTGTAAAAATATATATATATACTTACTCATAAATAACGAACAAATAAAAGGGATGTTCCTAAAAGCTTTTTGAAGCTTTTTCTTTAAACGACATTACTGCAGAAAGATTGACCGATTAAAGAAATTACTGCATGCCGGGGTGCCTGTAAAAGCGAAAGAAGTCGAAGTCCTTAAATAATTCAGCTGCTGCTGCTTATCCGAGGAGCAAATTAAAAACCGGTCTACCTTTACTTTCGAAGGGATGAATCGAAGAACACCCGCTGTGAGATAACACGTGTTTTATGGTTATTCAGTTCCACCACCAGCCATGTTAACAAATATCTTGTCGTCGTTCTTTTTCTTCTTGCATTACAACCGCGATATGAAGCGGATAATATGTTATTTTCAGTACAACGATAAATAGTAGCTCTTGAAATAATGGTGTTCTAAAACGTAATTAATATGTAATATTTAATTTTTATTTTATATATAAGTATTTTTTTTATTTAAGTATGTTCTAAAATATTTTCAAACATTTTTAAACGTTTTTATTCAAAACACTATTTTTAATTTTGAAAATTTATCGTTGATACAATTATTAATTTTTATATTTACAGTATTAATCCTCCTTTTTAGCATAAAAGTAAATTTTCAAGGTAAATTATGTAATTACATTAGATTTTTAGATTAATTTTTTGGTAAAGAAATTATTTTGTTATTTTGTTTATAAATTTATTATTCAGACTTTCTCTTTTAGGTACGTTAAACAATAATTTTTCACCATGTAGCAACATACTTTACAAAATAGTTACGAATGTAAAATTTTACGTACAGGTTATGGTTATTGTTTAACGCTTATATATAGGTTATGATTATTATTTAATGCTTAATGACATATTAAAAAATTGATTATTTCCTTTGTCATAAATTAAGTTTACCAGAGAAAAAAATGACTCAGAATCGACCAATGAGAAAATAGACATGGAGTTTGTTCTGTTTAACCTTAATTAATTAGCAACTACATTTTACGATCGAATTTATGATCAATTTACAAAACTGTTCTTATGTAATCGTCATGTAACTCAATATAATACAAAATACACATAAATCCAAATTCTTTTTCAAATTTTATATCAGATCATTTTCATAATTACTAGCGCATATCATATTTGTTCTTTTTTAAATTTACAAATTATTAATTTTTTGGTAGTTTAAAGTTTAAACCAATTTAGATTAATTCTGAAAAAGAAAAAAATGCGTTTTTCAGATTCCCTGTACCTGGAGATTGCGGTCGATTGATCACTTGTGTCGACGGCAATCCCCGCTTACTTACATGTGGTGATGGGAAACTCTTTGATTCCGTAAGTCTAAGCTGTTTGGATCCCGACGAATTGCCTCACTGGTACGTCATAAATTTCATCGTTTTATTTCGTGAGACAATAGAATAGAAATTGTATTAAACATTATTTCGTTTGTTTCAGCGCCAATAATGTATAAATTACATAGGTATGCCAGTGAACACAAGTCGAATTCACAAGCATAATCACTGTTTTAGAATCTTGAAATCCGAAGTCTTCATCTCATTCTGAACCAATAATCTTCTCAACCAATTATTTAATTATTTACTGTAAAAATTACGAAACAGCATTAGCGAAATTATAGTGGAAAGTATTTTTCTATCAGTGCAAAGAAAAGGATACTAATAGATTTATACAATTTCACAAATACATACATCATAAAAAAAGAAAAAAAAAATTTATCGGTATTTTTTTAAATAAACTATATTTTAAATTCCGTTATTCAACATTGTATTCATTGTCCAATCGATTTATTTTTGATTAGGAAAAATTCTGTAAACATTGTAGGAAAACTAGGTGACTGTGTAATAATAAAAACATGTACAAGAAACATTCGAATAAAATGTGGACATGCGTACAAAAAATATACAACGTACATTTTATTTCAATGAGTTTACATTCGTACAAGTGTGAACATTTTGATAGACACTTATGGTTAGGACGAAATATAGGTGAGAATGGCTAAGAGAGAATATTTACACATCGACTATAAGAATGACAGAGAACGGGCGGTGAGAATTGCTTAATAATAATTAAAAGACGTGTAATCAAGTCGTGTTCCATGCTATTTACCTGTATCCTCTTAACTTAAACGCGTGTGCTCCTAGAATCGTCAACAAAACAATCTCGTCGACTTCACATAAAGGGAAAAGAACAGAACGAGAGATAAAAGAAAATCGGAATATCTAGCACTTCTAATTAAAAGTAATAGTTATATACTTTGTAACGAAGCGGTGAATATACATAAAAAAGTGAATTTAACACACTGTTCGCTACCATGTGATTGTGTAGCAACAGGAACAGTGCTACCAATCACGATAATCTGCGAATCACATGTCTCGGCCGTAACTATGATCGAGATCTTCGCACGTATCGAAATTTCGGCACGTATCTCCAGTCACGCTTTTTACGAATGATCTGCGTCCAATAGAAGGCCCTTAGGCTGCGTTCTCATGCGCGTAATATGTAACGTACGAACACCGTTGGAGGGCTCGTGAGCTGCTTTGAATTATAATCACAACGTGCAACTCTTGAAATATATGTTTCTACTGCGTGTTCAAAGGATATGAAGGTTAAGAAAATTATAGTAATTTCTAAAAGTTGACTTTATAAAAATAGGGACATTTATAGTACTAGAAATTATAAACTTTTGTACAATAATTTCCATATTTCCATATTCCTAACACAGAAATCGTAAGATAAAAATTAGAATTTTAAGATATAGAATTTAGAATTGTTATAAATGATTAGATTATCATAAACGGTAATATTATTTAAACTTTTTTCCCCCCACATTTTTTATAAAGTATATTTTTTTGTACAAAAATTGTTCCTACGTATTTATTTTTATGGGAATACCAAACATAATTCTTTTCCCAAACATTTTTATAATTTTATTATGCAATACTTCAATGTTTATTTGAATTAGAATATTTACTTACGTACTTTATCTTTTTCTTCTCAAGGTGACATTTAATAATACAGACTATCCATAACAAAAGCTAAGCAGGTAGCACTAACGCGTGTAATATTAAAAAAGAATAAAACATAATTTGTTAAAATAAATAACAGTACACAGCATAAATATTCTACAGTCTTATTTATCTCGAACTTCGAGCAACTAATTTATTTTAAAGTTGCTCTATTCTTTAAAGGCTTATGTAATTCAAATAAGACAGTACCAAATATTTAACAACAATTTTCAACAATTTTTCCATTACACGCAATTCTATCAAGACACTTCGTAACTCAAATGAAACAATACCGAACTTTTAATAACAATTTTCAGCAATCCTTCTATTACACGCTGTCTCATCAAAATCGACTCTTTCAAGATCCTTCGAACGTGTCTTACGTTACATATTCACACGAATAGATGCAATCCAAGACCAACGATTCACTGAAAAGTGTTCGACATTCTAATTTCTAGGACGAGCTCGAAGTGGAATCGGCAGTGCACCAGCTGGCAATGGGGGAACACCTGGTGGGAGATTTTCCTCTTCTGGTTCCTGTTCATTTCGTCCTTCGGGAAGATCGCCTTCGAGGTTAGGTGGCGTCGTGGGTACATCGCAGTCCTCAGTGGGTGGTACTACACACCTCAGTGACCTTCGATCGAAGACAAGCATTGCTGGACATCTCTGTAGTCGTGGATAACCGCCTTGACATTGCCAGTAGCGGTTGCAGGATTTGCCCAGGGGAACGTTTCCGTTTGCGTCGTCGTTACACAAAGCTGTTGGAGATTTGATTACGTGTTATATGATACTCTGGTTTAAAAGATGTTCTAGCGAGGTCGCTAAGTAACGGTGATATTGTGTCTTAGTATTTAGAATGATAATTTTAATTCGTGATGCATTGCAAAAAGCTAATATGCTTGATCTATTTTATGAAGTGACTTTATATTAGAAAAAGTACAGCTTTACTTAAATGAACCTCTTAGTGGACAAATGGTCCATATAATAAGAGTTTACAAATTTTCTTCATTATCTATTATTTTAATAATAGTGTATGTTTACATATTGGCTTTTACAGTTTTAGGTTACTTCTGATAGCAGTATGGTATGTAATATATAAAGATGAGGGATCATAGAGGTAAATAAATTTTGTTTGTACTGTGTAAGTGAATTTTTGTTTCCTAATAATGAATAATGAATCATGATTTGGTAATCCAATGATGCCACTATTCAGAGAAATATCTACATAGTAAATAAGAAGAAATTCAACAACAAAGATTAAAATAGATATCCAAATATTTCAACCCGTAAACTTGATACATAATATTTAAACTTAGACAACTATTATATACAGAAATATATACAGAATGTAGAAGAGGAAATTAAACCTATGTGTACAGGAATGAAAAAAATCTCTAAATATTACAATTCATTGGTCCAATAGTATTTTCAACCCATGTAACTCTTATATAGAGAAGTGTATGTGAATACAGCAAACAAGAAAAACCTAACAATATAGGGTAAAGTATAACTCTAAATATACTAACACATCAACTTAGCAATATTCAAGCCCATGTAACTTTTCCATAGAAAAATATTTATACAATGAAGAAAAAAAGAAATTCTACAGCAATGGGTAAAGTAAATCTCTAAATATTCGAAGCGATTTTCCCGCAGTCGGCTGCTTTACAAGTTTGTCGCGATGAATGAGACTTCTTGTCTGTCAACTTGTCAGGCTACTCGGTTACCGGCAAGACGACGCGTGGAGCAGACGAAGGCGCGACGAGAGCTCACTTCGAATGCTAATTAACGACTCGCCTCTTTTTCCCGCGAGAGGGCACTGACATCGACCGTCGTCTCTGTTAGGCGGAGAGAAAAACAGCCACGGGCAACGCATACCCACACGTGTGCCTTCTTACATGGTAGCTTTCGAAAGTGAGAATGATCGCGAACGTCGCCTCTGGCAAAATAAGACGTGTTTTGCGAAAGAGAAGAGGGAACGGATGTCAAAAGAAGCGGAGGAAAAGATGCTAGATTTCGTGAACACGTAATTTAGTGGCGATTTGCATATTTTGCAACTTGGGACGAAAAATTTTACATTCGATCCAGCGTCCAGGAAGCACGTCCATACGGCTGAAAATGAATTCGATGCATGCAGAAAATTAATAGGTAGTGCGTGGTTAGGTTGCGTTGTTGAAGTTATAAACTTTCTACTAATTTATTCCACTAAGTATATACTCTTAAGGATCAGAAAAGAAATTTTGTTAGTGCGTGGTTAGGTTGCGTTGTTGAAGTTATAAACTTTCTACTAATTTATTCCACTAAGTATACTCTTAAGGATCAGAAAAGAAATTTTGCGTTATTTTAGATAATTGTTTACGTAATTTCGTTACTTGTAAATTGAGAAGATGACTGTAGCTATTAAATTTAAATACAAAAATATCAACAAAACATTAAAAATACTTGACATTTGAAATAATATACTGTTTGAGAAGTAACTATTACTATTAGTGTGATATTTTATGTTCAGTTTTTTCAGGTTCTCTAAGATGAATGGAGTTGTATGTACACTTATTAGTAAAAGCTTATGAATTATTAATCAATTTTGAATTATGCATTATATCATGATCTTTCAGGTTTTCCTCATTCCTTGCATGTATCATAACATTTATGAACAGAAGTATTCACACCATCTCAACTATTAAACACTAAAAACCCAAAAATTCTCAAGAAATTTCAACGTTGTAACTACCAGAAAGTGAGATTAAGATTTAAGATAACAATAATATCAAGCACAATGATAAATCTCCTACTTCACCTTTAATTACAAACCTGCCATTCTTATTCTGCAAAGAAGCAAAGAATCGAAAGTAGCCTAAGTTACAACAAAGAAAAAGCCATCCACTATTATGCAAGCGAAGATCTTATCATCAAGTTTCATCATCGATTTACTCACGATGCTTTTGACATCCTTCGACGTTCTCTGGCCAATCACAGGACCTGGCTCTTTCATTGTACAAAAGGCCACCGATACAGAGCTGTTCTGTGGCTGTGCCGTTCCAACAGGTCCAGTATCGGGTACAGGATGTCTCGTGGCCAAAGATACCATAAAGCCAGTCACAGTGTTCAGCCGGAATCGGTGGATTCGCCTGACGTTTTCCGTCACAGTAGTTTGCTCTCCAGGGATAATCGCAACCCTCGGTCACACCTCGGTGTTTTCCAGCGAAAACGAGACCGTTTGGACAGTCGAATAATTCTGGACGGCCATTGACACATTCCCAATAACGATCACAGTATTCTATGTCGCCAACGACTCTGGATTTTGTTTGACAAGGGTCCTCCTGTTGTTGTTTCTGGGCATGCGATCCTATAACAAAGAATACATACTTAAATGAGGCATTCTGGGAACATGGTTTGGCTTAAAACTACAAATAAATGTGAATAGATTGTAGTTTGGAAATTAGGTTAGGTTGTGGTTTATATTCGTTTCGCTTTTATTATGGTTTACTAATCTCTTACTAATCCGTTTCTTTTCCGCTTTCACGTTTTTCAAGAGGTTTTCCGTTGGACAACACGGGATGCGTGCGTTTAGACCTAAGTAATTATAAATACTTCTAAGATAGACTACTCCTAGACTAAGTCTCATGTGTGCGCTATCCGTACAAAGGTAAGCTATCTAACTTGGAGCAAATATATACATATCATATTTTTCCTCTCTTATCTCTCTCGTTTACCAAGTAGAACATAATTGTTCTCGCGATAATCACGATCGTTCTTAAGTATCGATTAGCCTACGCTAGGTTCTTCCCGTGTACTCGACAGCTCCACGGCCTCGTAAGTCATTCTCACAGCTCGTCTCCAACACTTATTGTGGTTGGCATGCTAGTGGAGCATCTGGATCAATACGCGGATCCGTCGATCCTAATCGTTTTGGGTGCCAATCTGCCCATACTATCAGGGGATGGGCCCTGCAGTCGAAATCTAACGCATGAGCGTGTCTGTTGTCTGCCCCATAGCACAGTTGGCTACGGTATAAGCATACTTAGCACTGAGGAAGGAACATGCGCATGATCCGACTGTTAGGCCTAGCATATGATCCTCGGATTGACTCTGGGTGTTTCGCTGGTTCATTGGCTGCCTTAGGTCATCAAGTAAGCCATGGCGAGGTCGGTAGTGGCTAGGTGGGCTAGGTCCGATCGCGAGGGTGCTGAGGCCTGGAGTTGTCTTGTACACGGGAGTACATCGTGTAGGCTAATTGGTCTTTCGAATAATCGCGAACTCGTTGCGATTTTTCATTTGCTCGCGTCTTTCATATTTAATTCCTTATTTTTATGGGAACTTATTTTATTGCGACAGTAGAATTGTAGTATACCGAATCGAAGTGCCTTTTGTAAGACACGATATTTAATAAAGTATCAATAGAGTCGCTTTAACATAATTCGCTTTAACTAAGATTAGATTAGGGTATCTTTGATACGGATAGCACTAGCAGGCTGCGTCACTAGGGCGCATGTCCATGTCTCGATGCGTAGCCACCTTTACGTGGTGAGTTTTGGTAATTGGTATCGTTTTCTAAAGAACAATTTTTGGGAAACGATCCCAAGCTAAGAGCTACGCATCAAAGTTGAAATATTAGTTATAAGTTTGTTATAAGTTAGTAATGAGTTCATTATAAATTAGACATTAATTAATTATAACTGAATTATAGGTTCTATATAAGTCATTAATAAGTTTAAGATATTTCCTATCTATTGTAAATGTTCAAAGTTCCATTTGAATTTATTTGTATTTTTTTTTTTTATTTTCATAAACTGTTATGTTTGCTCTATTGCATTTGATTCTGGGATTATATGTACGACACATAGCTACAACAGGGAGAAGTTCAATATTATTTAAAATACCTAACATAGTCTTAAGTATGGTGCGTTCGAAAAAAGAAGGCGCAGCGTCTTTATATCCTCATGGCTGATTAATTCCGTTGACGCTTCCTTAATCATAGGCAGTAACCACTGTTGACCGAAAACGGTGACCAATGATCGATCCAACGGAGTTAATTAGCCATGAGGATGTAAACACACTGTGCCTTCTTCCCTCGAACGCACAGTATTTGTAACAGTGAGAAATATTAGCAGTAATAAAATATAAAAACGTCACTATCTATAAAAATACGGTCCTCAGTGAAAAAGCCAACGTATTATGTATGTATTTGTGTTATAACAGTTCGGGTAGAGGAAGTTTAAAGACCGTCGTAAAAGTAATTTATGAAGCATTCGAACTAGACACAAGGTATTTCAATTTTATTCGAAGATATACTGAAAAATATAGACTTACAGCTTTATAACATCTCAAATTTTATTACGATATAATAAAAGTTTATTATGAATGATATAAAATACTCAAATAGAAGATTTTATGGTTGAACGTCTAAAAAGATGTCTGATCTTTTTCGAACAAATATGGCCACTTGAGTATTTAAATTCTGAATTGCAGAATTCAATCTTCTTTTCTAATAATAAAAGTAAAATTTTAAAACGAATTAAATTAATTGTTATAACCGTTAGATAAAAAAACCTAAATTATAGATAAAATAAGGAAAGATGTTTAGATGATCAAGAATCAATTTTCATGTTCTTACAATTAGTATTATTATAGCTAACCTCTTGAATCATTACAGCCAACGCCATCTTTCCCCATTCTTTCTTTTCTCGAATTTGTCTCACAATATTTTGTTTCTACGATTGCCGCATAAGTAATAATAACAAAGCAGTATAGTATATCATATAAAGCTAATGTCTCTTGAACTACTTACACCTACTACACCTTTCTTACTGTCACTAAAGCAGTAATACAAATTACTATTCGGACAACGCACTTGAATAAATGTTTTACCTTACATCATTTGACAATTACGAAACGCATAAATTTCCTTTAAAAAGTCACAAATTCAACAGTAATATCAGTGCCAAGGCAATCCCTCAATCACCTGCTTTTTCTTTTATCCCCAAAGCATATAATTTTCATTCGCGAGTTACTCGTGCACACGTTACCTTGCGAGCAAACTGTAAGTCGAAGGGGGTGACATCTATTAGCGTCTAACGAATACCAATTATGGAACGTTTAGCGGCGAATCGAACAACCTCGATCTGTTATCGACCGTTAGCATTGTCGGGGACCGTTAACATCGTTGTTGCATGCTTTTCCAAGCGAGCAGGAAATTATGCGTAATTTGCATTGAGAAGGCCAAACAGCTCGCCACCTAATATCAAGTTGCAGGCTCGTGGTCTCTTCTTTCGATTCAGGAACACGTTCCTGCCGACCGTGAGGCAGAGTAACACGATTTCTTGCTTGATCTGATCGAACGTTTATGACTCATCGTTCGTTGGCACATCGATCCCACTGGACATCTCACGACTGCGATTCTCGTGGAGATTTAAATAAACGTCTTCGAGAAAGGGTTCTCACTGTCTCAGAAAAACACATCGCAAACCAGTCAATGCCGATGAAGGGTCTTATTTTAGAAAATAAATCGAAAATCAAATAATACCGTTATTGAAGGCTGTCTTTAGAAATAAGCTAGTTGAGTTGCATGGTCTTTCCAGGGGGCGAAACACTGGTCAGCGGAATCGTATTTTCACAGAGGGCGAATCACAAATCGGCAAGGTGACGTCATTTTCACGAGGGCGAATCGCTAATTGGCTGAATCGTATCAGCCAATCAGCAATTGATAAAAGCGCGTTATGACGTTCGGCAAAGGGCATAAAAATAGGACTCTCGGCGATACAGGCAGAGTTCTGAGTAGAGAAACTTTGAAGAATTGTTGCAAATATAATCGGTGTTCCAAAATTCACGCAAAAAGTAATTTTGATAGAAAATACAGGTTTTCAACTTAAAATTGTAAATATTACGCAACAATGAAGATGCACTGTTCTTTCCTGTAGCACTCCATTTTTAATTACCCTGAACTGTTAGCTGTCACGCTGTCTTTTTTTCGGTTGGCAACACTTTACCACACAAATGGCGCAAAATTCAAATCTTGCATGAATTTTGGGGCACCTTTAGTTAGGGGAGAGGCGAATAGTATAATAATTATTTTCTTGCGTTTAATCAGTTTTCGTGTTTGATGTCATTTTGGTTTCATTCTGTTTTCGTTTTTATTTTGTTCGTTTTCGATATCTCAAATTGTTCAAGCAGACGCGATATTCCTTTGACAAAAAGGAATACATACATACAGTAAACGTTATTTCTGTAAACTGAAGACAGGATGAAACCTGTTTTGGAATCCTACAATATTTTAATTTAGAATATTCACGTACGGTTCATTTTTGAGACAGGAGTGACTATATCCGTTGATTGGCTATTGAACTGCAGCAATCGCTTCCCAGCATCACAATGCCATTATTGTATTGCATTCTATCGCGTCACGTGAGTCTTTTAATCAGATAGAAAAACAGCTAATACCTGGTACGCGTTGTAGAATGCAATCCATCGTGTGATACTTTCCCAGATGCCCACTGCGGCTGGAAAGGTGTTAATGCTTGCTGTAAGCGTTAGGTATAACCGTGTGAAAATTGCTATAGCTCGAGGTACTTGCTACCCAGTAGTGTAGAATACAGTGCAGTTGAAAGTAAATTTAGAAATAAATCAAATACGAAGAATAAATACTTTATATCAATAATATATCGATTACTTATTTATTAAATATTTAATAATATCGAATAGCATGAATATTTAACTTAATTATTTTTAAAATTAAGATGACATTTTCTTCTTTATCATGTTTCAAAATGAATTTCTTTATCTCTACGAGATTGCCATATATGTAATATAATTTTCTAATAAAAATTATTTAAATAATTTTTAAAATTAGGATGAGATTTTCATTTTTATACTGTTTAAGAATAAATTTCTTTATCCCTATGAGATTGCCATGTAATATAAGTTATAATATAAAGTTATTTAGTTTAATTATATAATATAAGTTATATTTATAATAAAAATTATATGTAATATAATTTTCGAATAAAAATTATTTTAATTCTTCTGTGAATTTCAGGTTTGAGAAAATAAGGTTTATCATATCTTACAGTGAATTTCTGCTGTTATAATGTAAGTAAGAAATTTGATATACATAGATTATAAGGAAATAAGATTTTGTGGTTAAATAAAATTTTAAAGATAATAATATAGTAGGATTTTCAGTTAAGTATATCAAACTTTAAATTATCCTATGAAATAATAATACAATGGTAATAATAATACAATTTTAAATTATTTGAAATAATATTGAACAAATAAGAAGAATAATAATTTTGTGATGAATTATTGAATCATTTGAAGACCGAAGACTATATCTATCTAATCCAGTCA